AAAAAAAAAAAATTTAACAAGCAAAGAAATAGATGTTTGGGAATCTGTTACTTAGGTTTTTATTTGCATCTGTAATGCCGAAAGACCTGGAAAATGGTGCAGGTAGATTTTTAGCTACCCATTTAAGGAAAATAATGTATAGATATCTCGTTAGTAAAATAATGCTCATCTAAAGCACGGTGTGTGAAAGCCAACACCACGGATCTTGAATCATTTTACAGCCAGAAGAGGTACATTTAAGTAATAGTTTGCTTTAGTTTTCCTGCTGCTTTGATTAAAGTACTCTGACAAAAAGCAACTTAGCAAAGGGCTGTGTTGGTTCGCTGTGACCGGGAGGTCTTGGAGCAGGGGGTGGAGACGGCTGGCTCTCGCATCCCTGGTGCAGAGCCAGAGCAGCCCTGTGCTTACCCTTCTTTCTCCACTTTTGTGCAGTCAACACCCCAGCCTGGGGAATGGTGACGCCTGTAGTGAGGCTGATCATCCCACCTCAGATACCCTCATCACAAGCAGGCCTGCAGGCTCTTCTCCCAGTTGATTCTCCATCTCATCGAGTCAGCGTTTGGGAGTAACCATCACATTGAGTACTCCAGCTTGTTTGTCAGAGGAGGGACTCCTCCTGCGCCGTCTATCAAGGTTGGTTACAGGACAAGAATCAGCTTCCCTCAGGGATCCGGCAGCCTGATCTTTACACAGTCTTAACTGGGTTGCAATATTCGTCGTCACGGCAGGACACCATCATACAGCAAATGAGAGGTGTCTGTGGTGGCATTCTTACCGTAACTCCAGGAAACGGTCACTGTTCAGTCCCACAACGCTCCTCAGGACTTTCCATGCCGGCTTCAGAAACCAAATCGGAGATCTAATCCTGGTATTCCCAAATGTTGTCGAAACAATTTCTAGGAAGAATTCCTCAATCGGGGACATGCAAGTTTTTTTTTTAAATAACCCATCTTTGTACAAAAACACCAGCTTTATTTCTGTTCTCCTTGATTTACAAAATGCTTTTGTCTGTATTTCCAGAAGGTATTTGATTCACAGTAGGCTCTAACCCAACCCCTCAGCCTTCTTAAGGTAATAGTGTATGATCAAGTGAGATGCTCATGGTTTTAATAATTCTGAGGCTTTGACCCTTCTAGAACATGTGACTTGAGGGAGGAATGGAAGTAATGATGTCATTTTCCTGCACCGGGATACATGAGTGAGCCTCTTTTACATGGCAGCTTCAAGTTCACGGGTTAAAAATAAACACAATCAATCAAATTGGTCCCCTTTGTTAGCCCTCTAGGTGACGTTGAAGGGAGGAGATGTAAATAATTTTAAATTCAATAAGTCATTCTTATAGGAACAACCATTAAAAAGAGCTTTCTCTAATGGTTAGTAAGATTTGTATTTCAATCCTTTTCTTCAGCTGTTTCCAGCTTTTCTTTTCCTCACGAAAGCTCTATTACACCTTGTTCCCTCCTCGTGGCTATTACAGTTGACCTCAGTAATTTCAGCATTTCTCTTTTGTTCAGCAGCTTGGTAGGTTGTGTCTGCAATTTGAGTGCAGCACCCCCTCCCCAGCATCTAAACAACAGGGCATTCACATCGCAGCGTGTTTAATCATGACAGTGACCTCCATCTGTAGCTTATTCTTTACAATGTTTGGAGGTATTAATATTGCTGTTTATACAATTTAATTAAAGCCATGTTTATAATCCTCTTGGGAAAAATCCTTAGTGCTCCCAGTATTAAAGTAAAGTGTCTTTGGTTTTCATGTGGCTAACAGTTTTCTTTAGAGGTGAATGAGCCAACAGTTACTACTGTAGACTCCTGTTGATAGAGTCAAACCAGAGGAGTAGCAGTGGTGAGAATAAAGAAGCCACTTGATTTGGAATGCTGGATGTGAGTGTCCTTGAGGCACCTCTGTCTAGATGTCTCTGAGATAGCTGTGCCTTATTTTTCTAGTGGCTGTAGCTGCTGTTGGGCCAGTGTAGATATTAAGTGCATGGCTGTCGTAAAAGAATACAAAATGAGGACCATGGAAGTCAGGCTAGAAGCTAGAGAGACAAAGTACGCTAGTGTGAGGCCCCCAGTGGTGTGTTCTGTTCTTCTCAGGAAAGAGCCCACATACTAGGGTAACAGTCTCCCTGGGTCTCTGCTGGACACCAGCCCCATTGATCGCCCACAGGTTGCTAAAGGCCTGAGAAGCACATCTGGCTTTGTCCCATGAGGTCAAAGTACAGGCAGAGTCCTCTGTGTCAGTTGGGTGTCTTCACTGTACCTTTCACAGAGGGCTTCCTGACCCCACCTTTTAACTTCCCAGGATGGAGCCTTCATCCGGAATGAGAGTCCAGGTTCCACAATCCCCCGGTCTCTGGCCTGCTGCCAGAGCATGTTTCCATCCAACCCTCCTGGACAGGGAATGTGGTACATCATGGTTCCAGGGCCAGCACTGAAGCATCCCTGTGTAGTTATGAGGCCAGGAAGTTTGTAGAAGCGACACATACAAAATAATCATAGCATGACAAAGACACAGCACAGTGACAAAGTAGCAATCAGGAGACAGTGCACTGGCAAGGTGACTTCCAGCCAGATTCTGGTTGCTGGGCTAATGGTGGCTCTCCCACATTGCAAAGTAGAAGCATCCAGGCTAGGAGCCTGAGTGAAGTGGTCTCCTCAATTCCAGACAAGCTAGAGATTCCTGGGAGCCCTTGCTTTGACAAAGAAGTTATTATGTTATGAAACTCCATCTCTCTCTTTTTTTTTTTTTCTGTCATGTCATTCCAGTTGAAGACCTTTTGACTATAGGAGGTTACTTCATCAAGAGTTTTCACTTCTGTAAAAACCATAACAAAATAAAGCTGTTTTTTGGAATGACAGTAACTGTTGATATGTAGGCATGTGATGAGACTTGGGGCTTGTTCGAGGCATGTAGAGAGTTTATTAGATGACAATGTGATACTCTGCTTGAAATGCTTGGAAGCATTTTGTACCTGGGACTAGGGATCCCCACCAGATTTAAGATGGGCTTCTCATATATCCAACTATATGTCGTTGCCCCTCTTACCCCACATGGCCCCAAAGCAAGCACCAGAAATATTAACATCTCTGTGTTAGAGTTGCTTGCAGTGTCCAGTTCTTTGTTTGTTTGTTTGTTTGTCTTGGTTTTTAAGGGAAGTTGAATGTTTTCCATTATGAGACATCTTGGCTGATGAAGAAGCCATTCAAGGTATATGGGCCTGTGAGGAGTGAGAACCTCACCAGGACAGATATACGATGCATGTTTAAACAGATATCCTAATATGTATATTTTTTATTTAAAATTAAAATTTTAATTTTCCAACTTTCCAGTCTCTGAGCACAAGAAAAACTTGACTTTGGTTACAGGGCCATGGGGGCTCCTCTCCATCCCCTTGCCCGTTGATGAAGTATATAGCACTAAAGGCCTATCTTTCCAAAATGGGGAAGGATCCTTTTTTTTCTTTTTTTTTTTTTTTTTTCTTTTTCCCTGAGACACAGTCTTATGTAGCCCAGGCTGGCCTTTGCTCACTATATTGCCCAGGCTAGTCCTTCTGAACTTCTTGTGTCTACCTTTTAAGTGCTGGGATTACAAGTGTACACACCTGGCCTCACCCTCCTAGCTTCACCTTTATCTAGGATTTTCTTTTGCTCCTGACCTTTATGTTTGAAGTTGTCAACTTACTGATCTTTACTCCAAGTTTATCTTTGGACCTTGTAATTCTCATCTTTGTTTGTACACAAAACCACAGGCACCTTGGAAGTTAGATTTACATGTGGATGACAAGTCAAGCTGGTGGTTGTCAGTAGACTGGAGCTCCAAATTGTATGTCTGCTCTTGCTGAACACAGTAGTTGTTTTCAAGTTACTTTTAGAACAGTCCTTCTCAGATCTCTGTTTGCCTTAATTGATGTAGCAAATACTGCTGGCTTGAAGTTGAATTGGTGGATCTGTTGCAGCCCTACTCAGCGTTTTGTTAATGGACACGTATGTTTAGTTATTATCAGATAGTTTCTAAGAGACCCCTGGAAGACTTAAAAGGAAGTAATTGCTTGTGATGGGGATGGAGAAGCCAAGGGGCTGTGCTAGTTCATGGAGATTCGGAAGGAAAGACTTGTGAGCATTAGATATTTGGGGTTGTAGTGTTGATACAGTAAGATGGGGATGGAGAACATAATTAAATTCTCTGGGGCTGTTGGCCAGTTGGAGAAGTGCCTGCTGGACATGTGAAGCTCTGGACTCAGCCCCTAGCACTGAACAACAGACATGGTCACACATGTCTAAAATCTTAGCACTCAGGAGGTAGAAGCAGGAGGATTGGGAGTTCAAGGTCATCCTTGGCTACATATCGAGTTGACGGCCAGCTTGGCCTAGGGGAGACCATTTCTTAGGAGGGAAAAAAAAAAGACAGAAAATAAATCTAGATCTTAATCTTTAGACTTAGAAATCATCACTTTCCCACTTACTGCTATAGCTCATTCTTGTTGGATTCACATATAGAATCCTATTCTGATTAGAGGCTGGGGACATTGCCAGAGAAGAGAAAGCGTGGTTTGAATGCGTTGATGATGCTCGTTATGTGACTTGGAAAAATAATCCTGGAGAGTTGATTACCTGTCCCTCCTTACTAATGGGAACAAACCACTAATGTCAACCTGACTCCAGAAACCCTGTTTTGCACCAGTCTCAGTTTCTCTCTTTCTTTTTTCTTTGCTTGTTCTGTTTTAAAATCAACATAGAAGGAATTTAAGAGGTGGTATTACTTGAGGAAATGGGTAATCTGATGCCAGCGGGCTGCCTGTATCCCAGGATAACTACGTGTGTGGCTCAACACAGTTGTGGATGGCAGGGCTGTGCTGTGACATCAAAAGGCTGGGCACCTCCAGAAGGGTTTCTCTGGCCGGGCTGATTTGGCATTCGTCCCTCCTACCTTTTGCTCAGGGTTTCACACCTCCATTGCAACATTTCATTTTCTTTTCTCCCTCCCCTTTTCCCAACAGCAGGAACGGATTTCATACACACCCCCGGAGAGTCCAGTGCCGAGCTACGGTTCCTCGACTCCACTTCATGTTCCAGTGCCAGGAGCGCTCAGGATGGAGGAAGACTCGACCCACCTGCCAGCCCACCTGCGTGAGTGATGGAGGTTGGGAAGGGGACATGCTGGGCCATGTGGACGGATCCCAGGGAGAGGCTCTGGGTCTGAGGTGGTGTTCATGGGACTTGGCCAGCTGCCCAGGAATCTTTGACCCTCACCCCATAATGACTTTGAAAAGTTTGAGATTCTTGTCCCTTATTTCTCAATATTTTCATTTGTATAGTATCTGATAAGGACATGGCAGGGGGGAGAAATCCAGAAATACCTAACACACGACAGAGTCCCATCCCCTCCCACTCCCCACCCCGCACCCCATTGAAGTTTTTATCTCTAAGTTCATACTTAGTTTAGCTTCATGTTTTCTTTTATCCAGTTGTGGATTCGGACTCATTGCTTTAAACATTTGTGTGTGTGCATGTGTGTGTGTGGGGGGGTTGTGTTTGGATTGTGTCAAGGTGCATGTGTGGAGATCGGAGGGTATTGTTTAGGAGTTGGCTTGCTCCTTCCACCTTGGGTTCTGAGGAAGCTTTCTGAACTCAGGTTAAGGCATGCCTGGCAAGTGTCTTCACCTGGAGCTCCACCATCTCCCTTGAATTCACCCCCACCCCTGCTTTGTTTCTAAGCCATGCGCTTTCTGTCTCTAAGGTCTCTGTCCCTTCTCTTTCTACATATACTGGCTACTCTTCTTTCCTCTATGTGCCATCACATGTCCTTTCTTTGTCTTCTCTTGTCCACGCCTCTCCCCCTTTCTTTTCTTGACCTACATTGCCTCAAGGGTTCCACCCTTTTCCCCCACATCACACCTCTCCTTGCTTCTGTCACCTTACCTGAGTCTTCAGCTGCATCTCAGCAGAGCAGTGGGTCCAGTGTACCTATATGACCACTGTCAGTCTCCAAAGCATTGACCCCCGCTGTGTCCCTTTTGTCTGCTCCTCCTCCACTGGTACCCACCCCAGGGGATAAAACACAACTGGAACATCCGGAGAAAAGGAATCACCTGATCCCTACCCTGATCACTGGTTTCCAAGAAAATGCCACTTCCTCTGCCTTGAATGTTGTCTGGAGGGCACACGTCCAGATTCTAGGGAAGACTGGGGTTGTCTTAGGCCTTTCCAAAGCGTTTCAGAGTGACTCGGGTGTTGAAGAGTCAGGCTCACCGTCCCTTGGCATGATGGCGGTCCTCCCTCCTCAGAGGATGCTTGCTGAAAGTATGGAATGATTCGGGACAGGGGGACAGGCTCAGGAGAGAAGATGATTTGTGTCAGGCGTTGGGGGTGGGTCTCTGGCACCCACCATTCTGTTAGCCATTCTTCTGCTTACAGTAAGCATGATTCTTCTTGGGTATTGAGAGCACTGGAACCCTCCCTTCCTTCACCTTTCTTTAGAGAGTGTTGCCTCTTGTCACCCAGAAGCTCCTGCTTTACTTCTTCAGCAGAGAAGTCAAAGACACAGCTTTTGTAGGGTCCCCCACCCCTTCAGTAATCTTGCAAAGAAGAGGTTGTGACTGCAGAGCTGCAGGCACTGTCACCTTTAGAAAGTGGAGCTGTTATGGTACCAGTGGAGCAGACAGAACTGGAAGAGACAGAGCCAGGCAGTAGCAAATTTGCCACCAGACATTGTCCTGTGACAGTGTTTACTACAGGAATGTTTACCTTAGGGTAGAACATACTTGTGGCATGCAGACAAAACCCCTGCACTAAGTGTCATTTATTCACTTTGCCAATCATTACTGTAGCCTGTGCTCTGCCAGGCACTCTCCTAGATACCCCAGGTGCCATGATGCAGAGAGCATCTCTCTGCTTCCACAGAGCATAACAGGGTGAAGTTTCCTTCTTCTTTTTTTTTTTTTTATTCCTATATTTTGCAACACTGCTTGAGGGACCACAGGTCCTGATAAGCCTCTGGGCACCTTTTAACATACATGACCTCTTTGCTGGAGAAATTATCATAGAAAGACAAAAAAGCTAGCAAGCGAACAGGAAGACCAGACTAGCCATTATATCTTCATTCTGGGCTCTGTGTGCCATTTAGCTGTGAGTTGGTCATTTATTTTCAGTCTTTTTTTTTTTTTCTTCATGTTTTTGTTTGGAGAAGAGAATGCTCAACAGTCCTTCTGACTGTAAATATGACAAGTCTCATCTCCACCATCGTTATCCTTATCTGGAGCTGTCTTTCCTTAGCAATGCTTTAGTTTCCCCTTGAGAAGGCAGCTTCCTCGCTGAACCGCCTCTTTACTGCTTCCCAGATCTATTTGTATTAGTCAGGGTTCTCTAGAGTCACAAACTTATGAAAGGAATGCCTCTTTCTCTTTACACACACACACACACACACACACACACACGATTGATTTATTGGAATGACTTACAGGCTGCAGTCCAACTAGTACAGCAATGACTAGCTGTGAACAGAAAGCCCAAGAATCTAATAGTTGCTCAGTCCCTCAGGCTGGATGTCTTAGCTCATCTTCTGTATATGCTGGAATCCCAGAGAAGTAGGCTCCTGTGAAGAAAAAAAAAAGGGGGGGGGGTGTGCTAGCAAGGTGAGGGCAAGCAGGCAAAGAACAAAAGCTCCAGTTTCCTTATCTAGACTTCCAGCGGTAGGTGTTGCCCAGATTAAAGGTATGCTTTCTTGCCTCAAGGCTTGGATGAAAGGCCTGTGTCTTCCAGCCTTAAGACCCAGATCAAAGGTGTGCACCTTCCTAACTCAAAGGTCTGCACTAGACATGGATTCACCCACTTCATACCAAGCAGAACATCTCCCACAGCTGTGTCCTTCATTTCCGGATTGTAGTGCATTCCAGATATAGTCAAGCTGACAACCAAGAATAGCCACCACAGCAGCATGTCACCAACTGCATCACTCCATCAGGACAGCTAGTAAATAAGCTGGGCGTGGTGGCACATGCCTTTAATCCCAGCACTGAGAGGTAAAGCAGGTGAATCTCCGTTACGTCAAAGTTAGCCTAGTCTACAAAGTGAGTTACCCAACAGATAGGGCTCATAGAAGAGACCTCGTCTCAAGAAAAGAAAGAAAATTAGTAATACCTAGTGATTATTGTGGTACTATATGAGGCCTTGATATATAAATTATTTTATTTTGTTCTCACATCAATATCTGTAAAGACAGATTTTCCTCTTTATATCCATACTGTACATAAAGGCTTGGGGAATTTTATTTTTTATTTTTTGGTAATGCTAGGGGTCAAACCCATGACCTTGCACATGCTAGGCAAACACTCTACCACAGAGCTTTATCTCTATCTCAGGGCTTCGAGAATTTAAGTAATTGTTCAGTTTCGGTCACAGAACTAATAAGATGACATAGTCAAGATTCAAATTCAGTCTCCTCCAACCCCATAAATACTAAGCATAAATACTAAGAATCTTAGATTCTTAGTATTTATGCTACTGTGCAGTTATGTATTTAATCCACTTATCTTGCATGGAGGAATGAATTTAGGAATACTGCTTGGCCAGTCATACTGATGTGGCCCCAGAACTGGGGTGTGGCTGGGAGCTATTCTCCTCACTATTGTTCTGTTGCTGAAGAACTCATGTGTCACCCTCGGATAGATGGATGGTTGGGTGGACAGGTGGATGGATGGATGGACGGATGGTCACCCAAGGTAATTATGCACTGTGGAGTTGTAGCACATTACTGCTGGCCTGGGGGATTGTCAGTAAATTATGAATTCATGTCAGGGCAGTCTCAGCTGTGTCAGTCCAAGTTAAATGATAACCTGCCATGGTAGTCTGCAGGGCCCCCGTTGTGGCATGGTTGGCTTCAACATCTGGAATGAATCCTCTCGACTGAGAGGTTCCCAGGCTCTTGCTGTCTGCCCTCTGCCGGGGCTTTCCAGGCGGGCTGGCCCAGTTTCCCTCCTCCCTACTCCTTACTCGGAGGAACTCAGTGGCCGCAGAACCTTACACTTAAAGATACATCCCAGCTGAGTTTCCAAACCTTTAAAAAAAAAAAAAATTAAATAAATAAATACACTAGCAAGGGAATTGGGTTACTGCTGTTTTAATCTGGGATTCCAGACAATTCCCAGTAGAATGTGTATGGAAAGTACGGGGAAGAGTCTGAGAGGCAGAACGGCAGCAGGACATTTATAGCTTTACAATGTTGGGAGCATTCTCAGAGGCCTGTTTTAAAACAAGTACCAGCCTAGTATGGCTCCCAGTAGCTTCTTTTTGCCATTTATCATTGGTCTTCAGATAAACCTCGCTCTGAACTGTCTTTTCTTCTCTCATTCTTAAATCACAGTAGGATTTGGAAAGTCGGGGAGGGCAGGAATCTAATAGCAGAGATTCTCACAGTCTCACTGCTGTGTTCCACAAACACAGGTCTATACTGAAGCCCCCCCCCCCCCCACCTGGAAAATTAGCAAGAGAGGTAGAGAGGGAGGCTTTGCTTTACATTTGTGAATGTGATAAAAGCGAGGTGATAAATGAAGCAAGTGTTAAGTGATGATTATGAGGTGCTGAAAGGACATGCAGGGGCAAGACCGGCCACCTTGGAAGAGTTCCTGTCTCCTTGGTCCTCAGTGCCCAGGACTGCAGATGCTGCTGCTGATCTCCCTGTTCATAGGAGGGCAGATGTGTTCATGGAAAGCATACAAAGGGCATGCTTCTCCTCTTCCTTCTCCTCTTCCTCCTCTTCTCCTCACTTCTATAAAGCATGCTGAACTGTTTATAAGCCTGAGGGTTGAAGGGCTGAAGTACAGTCACAGCAGGCCATGGAAAACAAAAATTCCCTTCTTTGTACTGAGCATCAACCCCTGTCTCAGTGTGAGAACACTTGAAGGACTCCAGGGGTTCTGAATCAGGCTTACTGTTGATCCTTATCATTGCCTGGAAAGGGGAAGTCTTTTCTCTGTCCTCAGGAGGGTAGGGACAGGGGGCTTATCCTGTGAAGGGCTTGCCTTGTTTGCTGGAAACCCACCATTTGTCACCTTCCTAGGAAGTGAGGTCCTACAAGGTACCACTGCTGTTCTTTCAGCAGAAGCTATTCGCTTAGATTTTCATCCCTGTGA